ATTTTTTCTTTGATTTCAAGCGAAAGAGATACCCATAGCTTTCCACAAACCCAATGCACCCTTTTGTGCCTAACAATTACCAGGGTATACAAAATAGATTCTCGGCCAGACACCACAGGAAACAGAACACATCGCTGGCGGGGGGGGACGAGGCCATAACATGGTCTCAGATAAGAACCGGCCAAAGGATGAACCTTCCTCCAGGTGTACTGTACACATGTGTGTGTGTGTGTGTGTGTGCGTGTTTGTATACAAATCTCTGCGCTAATTAAAAGTCATTAGAGGGGGCTGGTGGTGCCGGTATAATTGCATCTAAATGAAATGGCAGACTAAAGGAGAATCCTTCGGTTCCCTCCGGTTGCCCGGGGATAAATCAGTTAGAGCTTTAAGCCCAGATCCCCCAGATGATTATGTTAACGTTATCTAATTACATTTTTCCCTTTTTATTTACAGGTAAGCAACACTCGCCGTGAAACATGAAGCTACCCGTCCGGGGCCGGTAAATATTTTCAGGAATTAAGAGGAGGCCTTTTAATGGAACCCCTTGTTTTGGGTGGGGGTGGGGAGGGAAAGTTCAAAGGCGAATGAATATTTCACCGACTCACTTTCATTTAGCACTTGGCCAATGTCCTGTCGTGTGCGGTTTCCATGAAATATGGATTGGTATTACCTACGAAATGCAAATGCCGAAAAATGAATGAATAATGAAACATCGAGTGCTTCGAAGTGTTTTGTGCCCTACCCGAAAGTCCTTCAAAGATTCAATTGGAGATGGCGATGGCGATGGCGATGGGCTGCTCAGTTTTCTTCTTCATAAATTTTCAGCTGTTTCTCGGCTCATGAAATATGCAAGTGGCAAAGCTGGGCATGAAAATGCCAGAGCTTCCGTTGCAAGTCCTCTCTCACTCCCCGTCCCTGCCCCTGTCCCTGTCCCTGTCCTTTTTTTTATCCTATTATCTCTGTACAAGTTTTCCTTATTTTTTTCTCTCTTGCTGGCTCTCGCCGGGTGTGCTCCTCCTACTGGGAGGCTGCTGTTTTGTTTAAATTGTCAGTTTGAACGCAAAACGCCGTAGTTCCGGCCAGTGTTCATTTCGCTGACTTGAACCTCCTGTCGTGTCCTGTCCTGTCCTGCAAATTACAGCCAGAGAACTTTTGTTCTTCCTTCCATTGGATGGAGGGATGGAGCAGCTCCCTCGCTGCGATATTTTATTCTTCCTGTTCATATTCTCTGGCAAATATTTCTCTGCAGATATTTTTTTTAATAAATATATTTTTTATACACCCCAGGGAGTGGAGATTTGCCTGTGGATAAAGTTGAAGCTGCTCTTATCGATATAATTAAACGAAAGTGTTTGCTCTTTGGCTTTGGTATTTTATTGGTATTTCTTGCGATGTTTCCGATGGGTATTCTTGAATCTTTTCAAGCTCTTGCCTCCCAAGTAATTTCCCTCAAAGACCTGCCTCTCATTATGCATAATGCCACGTGGCTGCCTCATTATGGACCACATCAAAGTGCTGCCAGAGAAGATACCTTTCGTATCTTGCCCGAAAAACACACACACTTTATTATTTATTGCCATAATCATTTTAATGGCAGCAGGCAGAGCGGCGGGCAAACGCGATAATCATGTTTATTAACATTTTAACTTAATTCAGCGGGCGGTACTCCTTTCCAGGGGATATACGAAAGGTATCCTAATCATCAGTCAGCCGGAAGTCGGCAGGTGTTTGTCATGACACTCAGGAATGGAGGCAGGATTTTCTTTCACTCATTTGATTAGCTTCTTTACTCTGGAGGGGTTTTTTCTTAATCATTTTCTCCATACCAAAAGGAGATATATTTTTTCACTGGCTGCCTCCCCCGGCGATCCATCATGCGGTGGAACTGCTCTCTTCCTGCCCCTGCCACTGAAAGCATTTTCATTTAATTGAAACAAATGCGTGCTGCGTATCAATTGAGGCAAGAGGCGAACCCAAGCCCAAGCCCAAAGCCCAAAGCCCACATACTCGCGTACTCGTACTAAAATAAATATGTGTCTCTAAGCAATAAAAACTAAATGACAACAAATTCAAACAAAGCCAAAAAATAAAACAGGGGCGGCCTGACACCATTCCTCTGGCCGAGGAGGAGGGCAAACATTATGTCAGGTGCCGCTTTGGAGCTCTGTGTCCGCCAATTGAGTGGCCCGTCAATGGGGGCCACCCCCTAGATCTGTGTGGTGGTGTCAAAGTGATATTAAAATCCATGTAAATTACACACAATCATCATAACGCTCCTCTCCTCGTGTGTGTGTGTGTGTGTGTCACTGAGTGTGCCATAAAATGACACCAAACACGAGCATATGGATCGACTTTTTATGGGTGCAGACCATTTGACAGACTCGTTACAGCTACAGACACAGTCACAGATACAGATACGAGCCACAGATACAGATACGAGCTGCAGATAATATCTGCAACGTGCTTTTGGGTCTTTGTTTTAAAAGTGCAGCTGTACTCATGGGATATTTGATGGATATAATTTTTTGTGGTTACTATATATAGTGGGAGGTGTTATATTTACGAGATATATATATGGGAGATACGAGAAAAGATACTTTTTATAGTTTCAAATATCTTTTTCTCTCTAATAAAGGATTAGGAAGAATTTTAACATGTATTTTGTAGATATTATAGCTTCAGACGCAAAAGGATTGTATCTATATCTATTTGTATCTGTGTATTTGTATCTATATTCTATAAAAAGATATTGCGCTATGTTTTGTGACTATTATATATGTGGAAGGTGTTATATTACACTTACTTAGAGGAGAATTCGATAGAAGATACGAGAAAAGATACTTTTTATAGTTTCCAATATCTTTTGCTTTCTAATAAAGGCTTAAGAAGACATTGAAGACCTATTCTGAAGTATTTATAGCTTCAGAAGCACAAGGATTGTATCTATATCTATTTGTATCTGTGTATTTGTATCTATATTCTATAAAAAGATATTGCGCTATGTTTTGTGACTACTATATATGTGGAAGGTGTTATATTACACTTACTTAGAGGAGAATTCGATAGAAGATACGAGAAAAGATACTTTTTATAGTTTCCAATATCTTTTGCTCTCTAATAAAGGTTTAAGAAGACATTGAAGACCCTTTCTGAAGTATTTATAGCTTCAGAAGCACAAGGATTGTATCTTTATCTATTTGTATCTGCGTTTTTGTATCTATCTTCTATAGAAAGTTATGCTATTGCCTTAAGATCTGTTCTCTGAAGATTTTATCCATCCAAACAGTGTATTTTTGTATAAGAAAATTGCTGGATAATAAAGGCATCAAGCCTGGGTTTTTTTGAACAGCGGCTTCCACCTAAAAATTCAACCAACCGAGGGGCGCTGCTGCACGTAATTTGGCCTCTTCAACGAGGAATGGTCTAGGGAGCTAAATATTCTTGAAATTCATGGAAAATCTCACATTTCCCCAATCTTAAATATAAATAAAAAATGTTTCCTTACATTTATGTCAATATTTTCATCATTTATTTCGTGTTGTTGCCTTAACTTTGATAACCATTCGAAAAGTGTTCAGAATATTGCGGCTTGTTATTATTATTATGATTGCTGCTCGACTGCGTGTACCAAATGCTCTGCGGGGTATTGTGGGAGGGCTTCTGGGGCTGAGATTCGCCCGGAGGGCCTCGGTGACCACGAGGACCCGTGGGTCCGGCCGGGCCACGCATGCCGGGCGGGCCAGGCGGCCCCGGGGGACCGGGTGGCCCGGGCACTGGAATGGGAATGTAGGCAGTGGGACCCAAAGGTTCCTCCTTCTCGGCAGCAGAATCGCCACCCGAAGAGGGATTCAGGAGATTCAGGTTGGGCCAATTGAAGCCCGATTGTCCCTGGAGATTGAACCCAAGCTGGACCCGTGGCACCATCACATAGGACAGACCCGGATTGATGCGGTTTGCGTTCTGATTCTGGATGCCATTGCCGTTGCGATTGGTGACGATCGAGGGGCCATAGGCCACCGGATAGGCGGCCACTTGGGGCACCACATACTTGACATTCTGATCGTTGACCAGCGGCATGGAATTGGAGTACAGATAGTCGGGGACCTTGCGACTGTCTTTCTCTGCCTCGGTTTCGGCTTCGATGATTTGTGGTTCCTGGAAGGTGACTTCTTCGTCGTCCGATCGCTTGATGGGCTCTCCCTGCGAGGAGAAGATCACAATCTGTGGCTCCTCCAAGGCACTGCGACCAGAGCCATGGACCCGACGCAGACCCGAGAGACGGGCATCGATCAGGGCACAGGAGAGGCACAAAAGAACTGGAAAAAGAAGCGATTTTATTTGTATATCTTTTGGGAGTGGCTTGGTTGGCGTTTTCTTACCGAATATTTGCACACTTGGCTTCATGTTGGACAACTGTTTGGGTTCTCTGGGTGTGTGGTCTGTTTTATACCCAAAAAATACCAAAAGATAAGATCTGCCAGAAGAGTGGAGCCGGAGTTCTGGGAATGTGTTGCCGCGAGGTTCAATCAACTTTTGGCCATCTTTGGGCCATCAATTTTATGTCTCTCCTAAAAGTGGGTCAACATTTGGAACCTGTTCTAATGGAAGGGCTCTACTTATCCGAAGATCTTCAATCATTACTCAAAAACCCAGAGAACTTCTCTGGGGAGCACCCTGCTCTCTCCCTATCATCTATTGCTGATCTTTTTTCGCAGAATTGTTGTGATTTCCCCCTCCCTCCGTTTTTTTTTTTTTTTGGCATTTCCTACTTTAAAAAACATTCATTTTCATCAGTCAGCCAAAAATAAAGGCAGAAAAAATGCCTTGCGGCAGTGGGAAATCACGAATGAAATTGAAAGTTCAAACCATAGCCAACCAAGTATTGTTTTTGTTGCTGTGTCCCGTCTCTTAATTGAATTAAATCGAAAAACAAAAATTAGTTGCAGAAGCGAACCCCCTTTTTTGTTGCTTTCGAATTGAAAGCAGCAGTAGCAGCAGCCCGCATCCGAGGAGGCATGCCACCGAACGGTAGCGGCACTCAAACAGCAAAACATTATCGCAATGGGGTCGACCACTGCGACAGTTGTCTGATCCACGGAACAGTTGTGCCACTTGCGCCGTGGCGAGCGCGTCGTTGGGCGCTCACCAACGCCAACCCCGAAAGAAAACCCCAAAAGCAGGTGTCCTGTCCGTTCATCTCGCGTGTGTGTGTGTGTGCCATGTGGCTGTCGCTGTCGCTGTCGCTGCTGCTGTCGCTTGTGGTGGCCTGGTGGCTGCCACTGGCGGCCCCCGAGCCTGCCTCGCCATCGGGGGCCACGGGGGGACAGCTGCGTCGCCTGTGGCTGCAGGATCACTGCCATGCGGGCATCTGCACGAACGTGCAGATCGGGCGCAGTGATTATGTGATTCTGTCGCAGGCCCCGATCCCCAATCAACTGATGCTGACGTTCATCAACTCGAGCATCGCCAAGATACCGCATCTGCTGTTCGACACGTTTCCGGATCTGCAGATGCTCCGCATGGAGAACTGCTCGCTGGAGACATTCGAGAAGCCGCAGTTCGAGGGCGCCAGCAACCTGATGAGCCTCTTTCTGGGCCTCAATCGTCTCAAGGATATACCCAAGAATATATTCCTGGGAGCGGATAACCTGGCCACGCTCCATCTCCATGGGAACCAGCTGAAGCATCTGTCGAACCACAGTCTCCATGCCCTGAAGGAGCTGAAGGAGCTCTCCCTGGCAGACAACATCATCGAGCAGCTGCCCCTGGGGCTCTTTGGGGGAATGCGAAAGCTGATGGACCTCAATCTGGCTGGGAATCGGTTGGCGGCCCTCCCTCGTGGCATCTTTGACAAGAACTTGAATCTAACGCGAATCAATCTGGCTCGCAATCGTTTCACGGCCTTCGAATCGGAGCTGCTGAAGCTGCAGCCGCGTCTGTCGCTCCTCGACATCTCCGGGAACATCATCCAAGAGTTGACGCTGAACTTCAGTCTCCTGGAGCTGGCCGTGGCCCACAGCTGCGATCTGAGGCGACTGACGGTCTATGGGATAGTGCGAGAGCTCGATTTGCACAACAATTCGCTGCGAGAACTGCCCCACATACCGCAGGCCGTCAACGTCACGAGCTTGGATTTGTCGCAGAATCCCCTGGGGAATCTTCAGGGGAATCCCCTGAGGCGCTTCACGGCCCTGCTGCGCCTCAATCTGTCGACCACCAATGCCCATGAGCTGCCCGAGGGTCTCCTCAAGAAGCAGACGAGTCTCCAGATGCTGGACATATCAGGCAATTCGATGTACTCGCTGAAGATCACACTCTTCGATAGTCTGAAGGCCCTGCAGTATTTCTACTTTCAGCAGAACAACTGGAACTGCGATTTCCTGCAGCTCTTGATGAGTTCCTTTGTCAAGCGCAAGGATCTCTCCTTCATGGAGGACATCACGGCCCCCGAGCTGGTCGACGATTATGTGGACGGCATTGCCTGTTGGTACGAGAGCGATAAAACCTCCAAAAAGTGCGATGCCAGCAGCTCCGATGCCGCCCTGGAGCTCTCTGTAGTACGGAATGAGATCAAGGCCTTCACGGAGGTGGTCGAAAAGAAGTTCATCAAGGTCTATCGAATGTTGGAGGAGATGAAAATGAAGCTATAACCAAATCTATAAACTATCTATCGAATATTTAATCCCCCAAACCAAGTATCTAATCCAGTATTTAATCGCATTATCCAACATAAATTTATTTGACACAACGACAAGCAATGACATGGCTATTTTTAAGGATTATTGTTACACACACACATATTTATTCAATAATAAAGTTCTTCTTACGGGAAAATCTAGGGAAAACAAAACAAACAAAAAGTGAAGAAGGGTTTTTTTGAAAATATACCAAAAAAAATACCCTTTCCCCCAAGTGGCTATTTAATCCCCTCCATCGTTATGTTAAATCCCATATCCCATATTAAATCATTTATCCCAAAAAAGCCCGTCCTTTTTTTCTATTCTAACATGGATGCCCCTATGGTGAAAATTCCTTTATGGATAACCATATTAAAACAGTTTATCAGGCGATAAAATCCCATGGATGCCACCACAGAAATTTGCAAAAATTCCACAAATATTACACTCTTCTTTAACGCTCAATTTAATGCCATAAATATTTTATGCAAAACACGAGGCAAGCCCGTAACAGCGTAAAAAACCCGAACAGAATGGCAAAAAATATTTATGGCATAACAAAAATATAAATATATTTTTTTTTTTAAATATGAAAATTATCAGCGTAATCGGAAATAAAAATAAAAAGAGGGAGCGAGAGATGATACAGACAGAGACACTTAAAAACCGACAAAACTTAATTAAATGCAGACACACACAAAGAGAGTGGGAGAGGGACAGGGAGAGGTATAAACACAAAGTATGGAATGGCGATGAAGGGTCGAAGTGTGGATACCCTTTCAGAGAGGTATAGGCTTTTGTTCGTAAGAGTTTTATGGGTTATTTAGCAGACGAGGAAGATTTACATATATATTTCCGAGTCTCAGAGGTGCTTCTGCTGCATGTCTCACTCACTCCCATTCTCCCCTTCTTTCGTTCTCTTGGTGTCACGTAGCGACACAGCATTTTATTGCTTTTCTATGCCCTTAGTAGCTAAATTAAGCTGAATTTTCCTGGTTTTTCATGATTTTCCCATGAACAGAACACTGGCTTAATAAAATTGAAGAGCTCGTAGAAAGGCGCTGTTAAAACTCGACCCAAATGTTAGCCCAAACATTCAAATTGAAATAACATTAACAGCGCCCCTCTATGCGCTCCTCACAAGCAACACCTAAGCTCAAACAACATTCAATGTAAACCTTACAGACCACTAACATTAGCCATAACATTCAATTAACAGTTCAGCAGCACTTTAACAGTGCCGTTCTATGCACTTCTTATGAGCATAGCAGGCGCGTTCATCCCGCCTTAACATTCAATTAACAGCTGCTGGGCATATTTTTAACAGCGCCTTTCTATGCGCTTCTAATGGGCTGCAGCTAAGCAGGCGCCTACATATGTCTGTATTAAACGATCGGTTCTTTTTTCTGCTGTTGGGTATTTTAATGTTCTGTCTCTCTCTACTATTAATCCTTGCTTTTTCCCAATTGGTTTCTCCTTTCTGGTTTTCTCTAATTTTGTCTATCTGTCATTCAATTTATTTCTTTGCCAGCCTCACTCTTTCTCCACCCTTTGTCTGTCCCTCCCATCAAATATCAGCAGTGCAACCCTCCCTCTCGCTAGCAATCAGTCTACCCCTTGAAGAAAGGGCATCAGAGCAGCAAACGTCAATGGGTTTCGCTTCTTTTTTTTTGTTCAACCAGCCAGCATCCAAAGGGACAGCACTTCTGATTGCTGAAAACAGGACAATGATAATAATAAATGAATTTTATAAATATTTTTTCAGTGCCTATTTAATATGGAATGGGTGTGCCGTCCTGCCGTCCTGTCGTCTACTGTAACTGTATCTCTTCATGTGTGTGTGTGTGTGTGTGTAAGTGTGGCAAATAAACAAACAAAAACACCAGACACAGACACACACACACACATGTGTGGAATGCCATTAAAATATGGCTTACAGTTGATTGGACAGAAAATTGTGTGGTGCAAGTTTTTTCCTGGCCGCCTGCCGCCACAGAGATATGCAACTTGTGTGTGGCAACTATGAAAACTTTTGGAGTTGACAATGTGTTCGGGTTGTGCTGCTTCGTTTGATGATTTATAGACCCAGGATGAACCTTATCCTTAAAGAGCCGCCATTTTGCATTTCACGCGTTTCTGCTGAGCGCTGTGCCAAGGCTCTCTGTCGCTGTCGGCTGTCTCTTATCCAGCATCCATTTTCCAATAAGCATCATTTGCATTTTCGATGGTTTTCCATTTCTATGCAAAAATCCTTTGAGGGAGAGAAAGATGAAAGCGGCGAAAGTACTGCCACGCCATAAAGTATGCAACACATTTTAAAGCTTAAGCCATTAAGATCTCTCTCTAGTCCTGCTCTCTATAATACCTTACCCCCCCTCCAACTGTCTCCCCCTGCTGCTCTGTCTCTCTCTCTATCTCTTTCTCGCTTCTGCTGTGTGTCCTCCCCCTTCTGTTCAGCTGCTGCTGCTGCTGTAAGACTCTTACTATGCTTGTAAGCAACTTCCGTTTCCGTTATCCGACGCGTCGTTTGTTCTGCCATTGTTGCCACTGCTGCAGCTCCAGCTCCAGCTCTCGCTCCAGCTGCTGCCATTGTTGTCTCCTCCTCCTGTTACGCCAAAACGTAACGTTAACAGCGCTAACGTGCTTACGCTACGCAACATATGCACGGGGACAGGGCACAGGGCACAGTGCACACCCAACTTTTGTGTCTTGTCTTGAAGCTTAAATGCATTTTGGGCAAGTTTATGAAATTGTTGTTTGTTGTTGTTGTTGTTGTTTTGATGCCACAACTCATTAAGAAAACAAAAGCTCTACACAAAAGTTGCCCCTTACCTTAAGAACCACCCTTCTACCTCTCCCGCCACCTTTCTCTTACTTTCTCTTAGTTTTTGCTATAATTAAGTTGACTTTATTACCTCCCCCAGCACCCCCCCTCCCCCACCCCAAACAAAATGTTGCACATTTGGCCTTGGGCTTTCCTGTTGTGCGGACCCCCCGGGGCTTAACCGCTCGAACATTTATTGAACTTTCATTATGGCCACTTTATGACCAGAAATTTCCTTATTACCTCAACAGCTGTTGGGCGGGAACTTTGCCCAATGTTTGGGGCGAGATTAGAGGTCACTTTCTGGGGTGAAGAGAGCTGTGGGAGGACATCGGGAATTATCGTAGCAAAAATACAGGCAGTAAAAAACACAGCCTGAAGTTTTTTAAGCAAAATTAAAATTAAAATAAAATAAATACAAATTTTAATAAAAACTATAAAAATTAAAAAATGATCATTAATATGAACATATGTATTTAATTTAAATATATTAATTCAAAATTAAAAAATATATACACATATTTCATATTTAAAATAAATGCATTGAAATTGTGTATAAAAAAGAAAAAATATATATTCTGTATTTAAATTAAATATTTTTATATTTCGACTAAATATATTTCCCCACAAATTTATATTTAGATTAAATATGGATATTACGAATTGTTTTATATAAGATATAATATAAAATATTGAATCTTAATCTAAATATTACCACAAAAAGTAATATATTATATTTAAATATATTTAAATTAAATATTTTCATATTTCGATTGGATGGATATGGATGGATATTTCCTCACAAAATTTAATAATTTCGTACAATATCTTTTAATGTATTTTTTGTATTTAGTTTTAATCCAATATCCGTATTCCAAAATTTTATATATATATTTTTTTTGTTTTTTTGTAAATTAAATATAATATAAAATATAAAATCTAATGAATCAAATTAGACCTTCAATTCAAAAATCCTATTTAAAATGATATATTTTCTAATATTATTTAATTCCACTAAAAGCTGCATATTTCCCTTAAATATGGCTGTATTTCTCTGTCCTATGTCAAATTTCTCTGGGTACTCCTTTTATAAATCTTTAAATGTGTGGATAATCATTTCTTAGTGGGCTCCAAACATCTTGTTTGGTTTCTTTTATATAAATATACCCGTATTTTTGATTGTTTCATTTAAGTGTTCCCCCGTCAGTCGCTTATTCTCACTTATAATTTACTTAGTTGCCCCCTTATCTCCCTTATTCGCCTCTCACGTTCCATCACTCAAATGCCCGTTACGTGCCACAAAATGGAATGCGTGCTCATGATTTCCACACACACACACGCACAGACACACAGAAAAAAAACGAGAAGCATGCCATACAATTGTGAGGAGTGTCCCTCCAGAGACTGTTTCCATTTGAATGCCTCTGCAGAGGGAAATTTAATATTTCTAATTTCGGGCCTCATATTATAATCCAACAAATCATTTTTGTTGTTTTGTTGGAAAGATATATATATACTTTTTTGGGCATTATCCATAAACAATGCACACGCTTCGCTGCAATTATGTGCGCAATTAGGCGTTGGGGCTAATTTTTATCAAATTTCTACAGACAGAGACAGCAGCAGCATCAGAGAGAGAGAGAGAGAGAGAGAGAGCGAATAGAGGCTCATAAATAAAGCTTAATGGCGAAAACAGTTGGTCAGCCTCAGGGGCGAAGTAGTGGGGTGGTACCGGGGTAGGCATTAAATTAAAAATTCCGCCCAATCTCTGGAGAAGGGAAGAGGCAGAGAGAGGGAGAGCGAGGGAGCGAGTAAAAAATATGTTGCCTACTTTTGTGGGCCCGTGCATAATTGGGCAGCATGAATAATATATTTGTATGCGTGTGTGTTTGTGTGTGTGTGTGTGTGCGTGAGTTGCTAGTTTGGCAAACGAGGCGTGTGCACAACATGCGTTTGCATAAATTCACGCTTAATTAGCTCTCACTACGCCCATGCCAAACCCCTTCCCTCCCCCCACCCACCTCTGGTACACACAACCACACATTCCCTCATGCCCCCGACACCCATTTTGCCAGCATGAAGCAAGTTGTAACGCTTCTAATTAGCGGTTACCGAAACACTTAAACGCGCTTAAATGTAATTTAATAAAATACTACAGTTATATTTATACATTCCACTGGGGGATATACTATACACTGTGAAGGGAAAGGTGTTTTGAATTGAGAAATATAGCTGGAAGATCCATCAATTTTT